CGGGAGTCTGCAAACCAGATCCAGTACCAGTGCTGGGATTGCCAGGAGCTGTTCCCCTCGCCCGAGCTGTGGGTAGCTCATCGAAAGGCCCAACACCTTTCTGCCATGGTAGCCGAGCCACCAGTGCCACCTCCTTTGCCTCCCCCAACACCACTGCCTTCACCTTCTCCCCCGCCCCAAGTCAAGATGGAGCCTTATGAGTGTCCTGAGTGCTCTACCCTCTGCGCCACCCCTGAGGAGTTCTTGGAGCATCAGGGCACCCACTTTGACTCCCTGGAGAAAGAGGAGCGAAATGGGCTGGAGGAGGAAGAGGAGGACGATGAGGAGGTTGAAGAAGATGATGAAGAGACGGAGGATGAGGAGGCCATGGCAGAGGTCGGTGATGATGCTGTGGGAGGTGACGAGTCCACAGCTGGCTGGGCTCAGGGTTGTGGGGACTGTCCCCAGCACCGGCCCTCCGCAGATGCTCGCCAGCACCGGCGGGGGTCTCACAGCCTGGCCTCGGCAGCCCACCCCTTCCACTGCAGCCAGTGTCAGCGCAGCTTCAGCTCTGCCAACCGGCTGCAGGCTCATGGGCGGGCCCACATTGGTGGCACACACGAGTGTACAGCCTGCTCCAAGGTGTTCAAGAAAGCAGCCTCACTTGAGCAGCACTTGCGGCTGCACCGCGGGGAAGCCCGCTACCTCTGTGTAGACTGTGGCCGTGGCTTTGGCACAGAACTCACATTGGTGGCCCACCGGCGGGCCCACACTGCCAACCCATTGCATCGCTGTCGCTGCGGCAAGACGTTCAGCAACATGACCAAGTTCCTGTACCACCGGCGCACGCATGCTGGCAAAAGCGGGACACCTCCCTCAGGAGCAGCAGCTGCGCCAGCTCCAGCAGAGCCCACCCCTCCTCCCCCGCCTGCCCCACCTGCCCAGCTGCCGTGCCCACAGTGCTCCAAGTCCTTTGCCTCGGCTTCCCGGCTCTCCCGGCACCGGCGCGCGGTACATGGGCCCCCCGAACGGCGCCACCGCTGTGGGGTTTGTGGCAAGGGCTTCAAGAAGCTGATCCATGTGCGCAACCATCTGCGGACGCACACAGGTGAGAGGCCCTTCCAGTGCCACTCATGTGGCAAGACCTTTGCTTCTTTGGCCAACCTCAGCCGCCACCAGCTGACCCACACAGGTGCACGTCCCTACCAATGCCTGGACTGTGGCAAGCGCTTCACGCAGAGCTCCAACCTGCAGCAGCACCGGCGGCTGCACCTGAGGCCAGTCGCCTTCGCCCGTGCCCCTCGCCTCCCCATCACCGGTCTCTACAACAAGAGCCCCTACTACTGTGGGACCTGTGGCCGCTGGTTCCGCGCCATGGCAGGCCTGCGACTGCATCAGCGGGTCCATTCCCGAGCTCGGACTTTGACACTGCAGCCTCCCAGATCACCGCCTCCTGCCCCACCCCCACCCCCGGAGCCTCAACAGACTATCATGTGCACAGAGCTGGGGGAGACCATCGCCATCATTGAAACATCCCAGCCACTGGCGCTTGAGGACACGCTGCAGCTGTGCCAGGCTGCCCTGGGGGCCAGTGAGGCAGGTGGGCTATTGCAGTTGGACACGGCCTTCGTGTGACGTAGCTGAAAAACAGCAACAAAAGGGTTTGGTTGCAACAGCCAGTATGGGTACCTCGGGGGAGAGAGGACCACCCTCTGGCAAGCTGGTCTAGTGCCCACCATGTGCCAGGATCCACCTTGGCTTCTTTTACCCATTGACTCCCCAGAACAACCCTTCCAGGCTTGTCATCTTTATCTGCCTGAGGGGAAACTGAAGCTCTGAAATGCGATGTGATCTGTACCAGGTCACCCAGCTACACTGCAAAGCGGGTTGGCCAAAGCCGTTTGCACTGCATCACCCTGGTGCCCAGCAACATCAGGTAACCTTCACTGAGCACCAAGCATGTGCCAGGTCTCTGCTGGGCACCCCCATATACCTCTTCAGATCCTCTGCTTGTACCCCCAGCCCTGGCCTTCCCTGGATTTTGGGCACCCAGGACTTGGCTCTACCTGGTGGAGGAGGGTATTTGATTTCTCTGGGCTTCCTTCATCTCAATTTTGACAGTGTGGAAGGAAATCTGTAGGTACCCAGGTCCTCAGCTCCAGACTGAGTGATGCTGGAGACCCAGGAGCAAGTCAGCACGGGCTCTGCCTGCAGGAGGCGTGCACAGTCTGGTAGGAGAAACACACAAGTACAGATGGCTTGCTCTCTGAGTGTGTCTCATTGATTCATTCAGCCTGTGTGTCCTAGGGCATCCCTCTTTGCATATTGGGTGATGCTGGGGAAAGAGATGAGTCAGGTGTAAGGCCTCTCAGGGCTGTGATGGGGATGTGCAGGGACAGTGGGATCCCAGGAAACAGACCTCCATGGTGGGAGATGAGAAGTCAAGGACTTCCTAGAGGAGGTGGTCCCTGAAGGAAAAGTAGGAATCTGCTAGTGAAAGGGAGAAACAACATTCCAGGCAGATAGCACTGCCAAGAGGGTGACCTCTTAGTGTATTTGGAGACCATCCCATTATCCATCTGACTGCCTAGCTGAGACAAGCACCACACTTAGCACTGTACGTGTACTATGATCCCAACAGGCCTGTGATGTAGATATTATCCCTGTTGTATAGATTTTTTAAACTGGCCAGGTACGGTGGCTCATACCTGCCATCCCAGTGCTTTGGGAGACTGAGGCAGGAGGACCACTTAAGGCCAGGAGTTCAAACCTGGGCAACAGCAAGACCTCATCTCTACAAAAATTAAGTTAGCCAGGCACAATGGCTCATGCCTGTAATCTCAGTGCTTTGGGAGGCTGAGGCAGGAGGATCACTTGAGCTCAAGAGTTCAAGACTAGCCTGGGCAAGATAGTGAGACTTTGTCTCCATTAAAAAAGATCAGCCGAGCATGGTGGTACACACCAGCTTTGCCAGCTACTCTGGAGGCTGAGGCAGAAGCAAGAATGCTTGATACGGGGAGACTGAGGCTGCAGTGAGCTGTGATCATGCCACTGCACTCCAGCCTGGGCAACAGTGCAAGACCATGTCACTTAAAAAAAAAAAAAAAAAAAGGAAACAAAAGAAAACTAAGGACAGAGATTTGCCCAAGGTTTCATAACTAAGCAGAGACATTGTGAGATTTGAGTCCAGGAGGCCCCTTAGGCCCACACTTGTAACCCATACTATACTAAGTGATTAAGACCTGAGACCTGTGCAGGGGGTAAACCAGTGTCAGAGTGGTTGGAATTTGAGGGGGCCCTGAAAGATCAAAGGTCTTGGGAGCAGGAAGATTCCCACCTTGTTGAGAGGTTACCTAGAATAATACTCTTTCCCTCCCTTTATTTATTTTTCTTTTTTTTGAGATGGAGTCTCACTCTGTCGCCCAGGCTGGACTGCAGTGGCCCAATCTCAGCTCACTACAACCTCTACCTCCTACGCTTAAGCAATTCTCCTGCTTCAGCCTCCCTAGTAGCTAGGATTACAGACACTTACCACCCTGCCTAGCTAATTTTTGTATTTTTAGTAGAGTTGGGGTTTCACCATGTTTCACCAGACTGGTCTTGAACTCCTGACTTCAGGTGATCTGCCCACCTCAGCCTCTCAAAGTGCTGGGATTACAGGTGTGAGCCACTGTGCCCAGCCATAATAGTCTTTCTCACCCAAGTGGATGCATGTGATTCATGATAAGTTCCTCCCAGGCCCCTGCAGCCCAGGGTGCTCAGGCAGGGGAGGCAGAATGCAGCCGGGGATGGAATTGTCCAGGAGGGATGCCTAGACTTAGGAACACCTTCAAAGCTGGGCTGAGTAGTTCAGGGTTGGGGGAGGGTTGTAACTGGGTGTTGGCTCTGGGCTCAAAGTGGGATGAGTGGGAGGCTAAAGATGGTCCAGTAGAAGACAGGCCCAGACCTGAGAAGGGGTCATGGGGTGGTAGGAGGGTGAGGAGACACATTAGTGACATCATGGCTGACCAAGTGTGAGTAGCAGGGAGGAAGGGGTCCCAGGATCCCAAGGTCTGCCCCTCACCCAGAAACAGCCATCCTCCCCCTTGTCAGTCTGCTTGTTCTGTATATTCATTCATTCTACAAACCATTCTAAAATCCAGGTAGTGTTAAGCAAGGAAGGGACAGGGTCTGTCCTATCCCAGGTAGTAGCGTAAAGATGCCCCTTGAGTGGGGCAAGCAGACTGGAGAGCCCACACTCCACCCAAATAGTCGCTTCGCTCCATCTGGAACCTTTGAAACTCTTCCCTTTTTGTTCACCAGTGGAATCCAGTAGGGGGCATACCCAGTGCTCCTCCCCAGGCCCCCTTCCACCTCTGGGGCATCCTGGCCACACTCACTGCTGGTGCCATGTAGAGAAGATAACATTTCCTTCCACCCATGCCTCACCATCTGGCCCCAGCATGTGTTAAGTGTGGGTAAAAGTCAAGCTCTCTGCCCTAACCTTTCCAGAGTTGTCACTTCCCAACATCCTTAAGACGTGGACCAGGTAGGTGCCCTGTTTAAGACTTGGAAATGAAGGCTTGGAATCTTCTAGGGTTCTGCCTCCAGCCATGGCCACCCAACAAAGAGTATACAAGCAGGCAGAGCTTTGGCCTGAGTAACACATCATCTCATGTCCCCCTAGACCCTAGAGTGGCAGGCAGCTTGGGCTAAGACAGACAGTCCATTGTTCAAGTCCTGACTGTCTCTTAAGCTCCATGGCCTTCTCTTCTATGATCCCCAATTCACTCACCAGTTCTGGGAGGTTAATCCCTCCCTCCCTAAGCAAAAGCAGATAATTTATGCTGGGTCATGGGGCAGGCTCCTCCCAGGCCTCTATAGCAGATAAGCCAGATGAAGCTCATCACCACAAATGCAGAGAAAGCCACAGTGTGAGGCCTTTGGACAGCCCCTCTACCTGATGCAGCTCATTCCTGTCCTGGAACAGTCCACCTGGGAGCCCCCACCACCTCAGTGGAAATAGGCAGCCAGACAGAAAGCAAGTTTTCATGCCAATAATTTATTGAACGGAGGTCTGTACACAGGCAAACCTTACTGTGGAAACTAAGACATCAGGAGCTCTCTCCACTCCCCTGGCCCTCCAGGGTGGGGTGAGGAGGGAGAAGACCTTGGGGGCAGAGGACAGGAGGGGAGTTACAGCTGTAGGAGGGGGCGGGGCCAGGTTGGACGGTGCGAATCGACGTTTTCTTTAAGAAAAAAATTATAACAATCTATTTACACCCGGGGGCCAGGGAAGGGAAGAGGAGACAGGGGCTGGGCTGGTTCTATTTACAAGGGAAACAGGAGGGGAAGGGATTTGGAGGAGGTGGAGACCTGGGAGAGGGGAGGGGGCCAAGGGGGTAGGAGGTCCTCATCCCCCCAACACCCTGTCCTTCTTTCCCTCCCCACAACCAGTTAAAATCCTCTTAAAAAGCCCACCACAGGAGTGAGGCTGGTGAGGGAGGGACTGGAGGTGGGGACAGGGACTCATTTACCTCTGCCCTCTAGTCTAGGGGCCCAGCCAGGGCAGGAGCTTAATGGGCTATGGCCCCCCTTCCCAGCCCCTCTTGGGGCTCCCAGATGGAAGTGGAAGGGTGGTTGGTGGGGCTCTCAGGACGAGTTAGCGAGGGTAGGTGTGGCATCGGTCGACTGCCAGTCTGAGCTGGTTGAAGTCTCAGTTAAAGCTGGAGGGAGGGAGGGAGGGAGGGAAGGAGCAGAGAATTAGCCTTTGCCTTTCAGACACCCCTTCCCCCAACCCAAGAATAGGAATTCTCATTATAGATGCTGCATTAAAAGTTTAAAGCTGTCACTTTAGGTCAAGGGTTGCAAACTCAAGTGCCAAAGGGCCAGGATGGTAACTGAGTCACACACCAGGGTGCCAGGCTCCATATAAGGGGGCAGTGGGTTGGGAACAGTGGCTCACACCTGTAATCCCAGCACTTTGGGAGACTTGCGGTCAGGAGTTCGAGACCAGCCTGGCCAACATGGCGAAACCCCATCTCTTATTAAAAATAAAAAAATGGCCGGGCGCGGTGGCTCAAGCCTGTAATCCCAGCACTTTGGGAGGCCGAGGCAGGTGGATCACGAGGTCAGGAGATCAAGACCATCCTGGTCAACACAGTGAAACCCCGTCTCTACTAAAACTACAAAAAATTAGCTGGGCATGGTGGCGCGTGCCTGTAATCCCAGCTACTCAGGAGGCTGAGGCAGCAGAATTGCCTGAACCCAGGAGGCGGAGGTTGCGGTGAGCCGAGATCGCGCCATTGCACTCCAGCCTGGGTAACAAGAGCGAAACTCCGTCTCAAAAAAAAAAATAAAAAATAAATAAAAATAAAAAAATTAGCTGGCGGGGTGGTGTGTGCCTGTAATACCAGCCCCTCAGGAGGCTGAGGCAGGAGAATCACTTGAGCCCAGGAGGAGGATGTTGCAGTGAGCCAAGATTGTGCCACTGCGCTCCAGCTGAGGCTGGACTCCATCTCAAAAAAAAGGCGGGGGAGGGGGGGGCAGCTGGAACCCAGCACCCACTGTCTACTGTCAGGAGGATGGGTGGACTTGTTACTACTCAATCTGATTTTTTTCTTCCCCGAGAGAAACAGGAAATCTGAGTTGTTACATAAAATGGCCCCTATTTTTAAACCTGGGCAACATGGCCAGGAGCGGTGGCTCACACCTGTAATCCCAGCACTTTGGGAGGCTAAGGTGGGAAGATCACCTAAGGTCAGGAGTTCAAGACCAGTCTGGCCAACATGATGAAACCTCATCTCTACTAAAGATACAAAAATTAGCCAGGCATGTTGGCGTGCACCTGTAATTCCAGTTACTCAGAAGCTGAGGCAGGGAAATCACCTGAGCCCAGGAGGCAGAGATTGCAGTTAGCCAAGATGGAGCCACTGCACTCCAGCCTGGACAACAATTGCAAAACTCTATCTCAAAACAAAAACAAAAACAAAAAAACGCCTGGGCAACAAATTCAACGTTCTGTTTGTTCAGGCCAAACAATATTTCTCTGGCTTTCCCACTGGCATTTAAATACAAATGTGCACAGGAATGCCCTTTAAAGGTGGTCATTCACATGTTTTAAGATGTGCTTTGTATGCCATCAAGATTTCAACGATTTAAAAATACATTCAGGAAACCCACGACTGACAGAACAGCCTCACACTCCCCAGGCAGAGATATGCTTTAACCCCCAGCAGATGGCCCCCAATTACCTTGTGAGGACTGGGTGAGGGTGGTAGTGCCCGCTGGGGACCTCAAGTGAGGAGGGATGAGAATGGCGTTGAGAGACGGTTGGATGGAGAGTTCTAGAAACAGCAATTGACATGCCAGTCAGGGTAGCCTACAGCAGGGTTATGATGGCCACCAAATGGGAACCCGGCTATTGGCAAGGCCAGTTGTTTGTGGACACTTTCAGCCACAGGCCTCTCTCAGTGAAAAACCAGAAAAAGCCTACCACGCGGCAGATCACAGTAGAACTTAACTGAAACAGGTTCAATTACCCCTGAATCCGGGGGTCATCTTTCCTGAGCCCTTGCCTGCCTTGTACCCTACCCTTAGCTCCCCACTCCTGCTTCAACACCAAGCTCTTCACAATCTTTGACTGCCCCTGCCCTGCTCCCCAGATCCCAGGCTATGCCCTCACCACCAGCACTGAAGTTGAAGAGAGGGGGAAGTGGGCGGTTGTTAGGGAGCTGGGTTCCCAGACATCGTAGTTCATCAAAGAAGCTGTGGGCGCAGGCCTCTAGTGGGGAGAGCCTTGAGGACGGGGTGTACTCTAGCAGGCTGGAGCAAAGCGCGATGGCCTCCGGCGGCGTTCGAGATTTAAACACCTGGGGAATGGATGCAGGGGTCATGAGGGTGAGATGCCCTGGTCACTAGCATACTCCTGTTATCTCACTGCCACAGTGCCTGTGGCAAGTACGACTGGCTATTTCCCACACCCCCACCTTCCAAATGGAGAAACTGAGGCCCAACCACTAAGAAGAGGTCAGTTTGTATCGGGTGAGCAGCCAGCCCAGGTCCAGACTGTATGAGCCCTGCTGTCAGCTTTTTCCCCTCCATAATAATTAGAATCTTGAATTTACTTGTGAGTTCTCGACTTTTAAGATGCCATAAACTTTGAAATTGCATGGAAGTTACTGATCCCTGGATAACTCTTCAAATCCTCCTAAGCCATGATTCTGAGGCCAGGTCCACAGAACACTTGACCTCCAAGGGGGAGTGGCTCTCAGCCATGCTGCCCTAAGCCCCGAGCCCTGCCCCACCTTTGTCCAGGGGTGAGCTTTAATCTGAGGGAACTTGAACTCTGTGTAGTTGGGGTTCATCTCTCGGATTTGTTCCCGGGTTGGTGTTCCCAGCACCTGTAAAAAGAGGGAGGGGTCTGAGACAAGGGCCCCACCCCTCAGCCCCACCCCCTGCCTACCCCAGCCCCACCCCTCACCTTGATGATCTCCACCAGCTGGTCCACCCCACTGTCCCCAGGGAAGATGGGCTGGCCCAGGAGGAGCTCCGCCAGTACGCAGCCAGCTGACCAAACATCTGAGGGGAAATGGGGGAAGCGTCAGGGCTAGGCGAGTAGGGCCACCAGCCTCCCAGTACTTCTATTCCTCATGGCCATCCTGAGTGTTAGGAGCCCCGTTTTCTCAAAGACAAAGTACCTGGCCCAAGGTCACATGAAGCCTAGAAAACATGGGCCTGACCTTGACCCTAAAGGTCTGCAAGCCTTTGCTGCACTCTCTAGTCTGGATGTGTTTCCAGCCCTTAGTGCCTTTCTCTGCGGCTAGCCTTAGATGACAGACCAAACTAGGCCCAAACCTGCCAACAGGTACCTGTGTTCTTTGGGCCTCAGGAAGGTACAGCCTTAAATCTTGGACTGCCTTCCTCTTGTTCCAACTTCTATCCTTCCCATGAGAGGAGCTACAACCCAGCAGCTTGACCCCCACAACTCGAGTTCATACCTAAGGACTACACAGTTCCTCACGCTGCTGCAGAATGTTCCCTTTCAAACTCTTTCTTGCTCATTCCCTCATTTCAGCCTTCCCCTCCTCATGCATGAAAAATGGCAGTCGTCCCCACAAACAGGGAAGGACACAGAGGCCCTGGGAGCAAGCTGCATCTTCATGGTGGCAAAGCCTTCCTTCCCGATCCCCCCAAGGTCTCCAGCAGCCCTTCCCCCTAGCTTAGAACAGAGGGTTGGCAGGGAGGTTCCAGAACTGGTATGGACTCTGGAGTCAGGTCAGCTTTCAAATCCCAGCCCTGCCCAGTCCCAGTGGTGCCACTGCTGGCAGTCAGCCTCACAGCTCTAAGCCTTAGGTTGCTCATCTGTAAAACGAGCATCTGACAGCATCAGCCTCCTAAGTTTGTGAGGACTTAACGCTTTTATCAGCAAGCCCGGCATGGAGCACACAGAGAACTCCAAAATAGGGCTGGCACGGTGGCTCACACTTGTAATCTCAGCACTTCGGGAGATCGAGACAGGTGGATCATGAGGTCAGGAGTTCAAGACCAGCCTGGCTAACATAGTGAAACCCTGTCTCTACTAAAAATACAAAAACTTAGCCGGGCATGGTGATGGGTGATTGTAATCCCAGCTACTTGAGAGAGGCTGAGGCAGGAGAATTGCTTGAACTCAGAAGGCAGAGATTACAGTGAGCCGAGATTGCACCACTGTACTCCAGACTGAGCAACAGAGTGCAACTCTGTCTCAAAAAAAAAAAAAAAAAAAAAAAAAACCTCCAAAGCTTCCAGGATTGTCACTACCCCCCGCCACCCTCCCATAGCCCTGACCAATGGACGAGGTGTAATCAGTGGCTCCAAAGATGAGCTCTGGGGCCCGGTAGTAGCGAGAACAGATGTAGGAGACGTTGGGCTCCCCTCGGACCAGCTGCTTTGCACTGTGGGAAGAGAGAGGCAGGAGTAAACACGAGGCAAGGGCTGGGATCCTCCCCAATCTCTTCAGCCACCCAACATGCCCCAGGCCTACCTGCCAAAATCGCAGAGCTTGAGGACAGCAGTATCAGGGTCCACCAGCAGGTTCTGGGGCTTGATGTCGCGGTGACACACACCCTGGGAGTGGATGTAGGCCAAGCTGCGGAAGAGCTGGTACATGTACACCTGGGGCAGGCACAGGACAGCAGAATTTCAGCCCAGCTCTCCCCACACAGCACCACTACCCCACCAGCGTGGCCTAAAGAGCCCTTCCAGGCCCACTCTCCCTGCTGCCCTCATAGCTTTGGGGAAACCGCTGTTTGAAACCCTTGGTTATCTTAGTGTGCACCACAATTACTTGGAGGACTTGTCAAAACAGGGACTGCTGGTCAGGGGCGGTGGCTCATGCCTGTAATCCCAGACCAAGATAGGTAGATTAGTAGAGGTCTAGAGTCCAAGACCAGCTTGGCCAACATGGTGAAACCCCGTATCTACTAAAAATACAAAAATTAGACAGGCATGGTGGCACACGCTTGAAATCCCAGCTACTCGGGAGGCTGAGGTAGAATCACTTCAACTCGGGAGGCAGAGATTGCAGTGAGCCAAGATCGAGCCACTGCACTCCAGCCTGGGCAACAGAGTAAGACCCTGTCTAAAAAACAAACAAATAAACAAAAAAACAGAGGCTGCAGGGCCCCACTCTCAGAGTTTCTGTCAGTGAGTTCTTGATGAGCCATTTGCAACAAGCTCCAGCATTGATGCTGGTCTCCGGACCACACTCTCAGAACCACTGCTTTAATCACAACCCTTGGCAGAAGCCTGATGAATTAAAAAGCTATGTCAGGAGGTTATCATAAAACAGGCTAGGGAGCCAGGCACTCAGCTTCCCCCTCGCCAAAACTACTGGCTCCTTAATCCGACAATCAAAACCACCCCTGAGCCTGCCCCCTCTCCAGCTCCATTTTCCTGCCATTCTACCTCCCACTGACTAGAACAGAAGGGGAATGAGAACAGGATTTTGAGTTTCAGTCACTGCTGCATCCCCCAGGGCCTAGATAGGCCAGGGCGTGGCTCCTAGTAACAGGACTGCTTCCTACACCCCCTTTCCTTTATTCCAGTCCCCCTCAGCCAAAGATGCCCTTTCCTTGCCCTGGTCAGTCTCCTCCAGGAAGCCTTCTGTGATCCTTCTCACCCACAAACCAGGCTGGGTGCCTCCTCCATTTCCAGAATTTCCTGTGCTCCTTCTGGTATGGCAGCAGTAGTTCATTTAATTTTCTGTGGCGATGCCTGTCTACCGTACCAAACTGAGAGCTCTTCAAGGGCAAGGGCTGGGTCTCAGTTAACAGTGCCTCTGGAATTGCTCAGCACTGGGCCCTATGCAGGCAGTCACAGGACAGATTCCCCGAACCAGAGGGCTCACCTCCAGGGAGGTGAGGTCCAACAGCCACAACCACAGGTAAAGCCCACGTTGGCTCACCCAGGCTAGAGTACGTAAAGCCAGCAGGATCAGCAGCTGGGCCCGAAGTGACCTCCAGCAAACAAATCCACCCACCCCCTTCCAATGCAGCGGGCTGCTCCAGCCTCTGTTCGCCATATCATCCCTGGGCTGCATTCATTCATTCATTCATCCATTCAAATACCTCCTGAAGGTCTGTAATACCCAGGGCACAGTGCCAGGCACTGGGAAATAAGCCTGCACAGACGATGAACAGAGATCAGTTCCTGGCTCTGTGGATGCTGACCTTCCTCCAACCCTCTTTCCCACCTACTCCCGACCAAGGCTCTGAAGGCCCGGACTCTGGCCTCAGCAGCTGTCCCTGTGCATTCCTAGTCCCCACCACTCCCTTATCCTGAGCTAACCCCAACATCTCTGGTGCCACTGGACTCCCCATATGGACCTGGGCAAGGGCCTGGCAGCCTCTGAAGCCCCGGGTCAGTCTGCTTTCCTGATTCAGTCAGGCCTTGCCTGCCTTGGCTCTCCCCTGTATTAGGCGAGCTCCATCTCTGGGGGTTATGGGAACAACAGCAGGGAACACAGGGCCTCCAAAGACCAACATAAACTATGCAGATGAGGGATCCCATAAAAGGTGGGAGGCTCCAGAGCCCCTGGTTTTACGGGCCTGGGTCCCAGCAGCCTGCCTGCCGGCCTACCTTGACATAGAGGATAGGGATGGTCAACTTGGCCTTGGTGAAGTGACGGGCCACCCGGTATACTGTCTCGGGCACATATTCCAGCACCAGATTTAGGTAAAGCTCGTCTTTCTGCAGGGAGCAAAGGAGAGGTGTGAGGCACTGTGAGAAGAGTGAGGAAGGGGGAAGGAAGATGTGCAGGGAGCAGTGGGGGAGGGACTGGCACTCATGGGAAAGGCAGACAGGCAGGAAAATGGCCAGAGTTGAGGTAGAGCACCCACCACCATCTTGAGGTCTCACCTTCTCCCCACTGGAGTAGAAAAAGTATCTCAGCCTCACAATATTGCAGTGGTCCAGCTTACGCATGATCTGCAGCTCTCGGTTCTTGGGGGTAAAGGAAGAGAGTCTCAGAATACGACAAACTCTCTCTGCTCCCCGTCTCTATTCACTCACTCCCCACAACAGAGCCAGGCAGCTACTTCCTGTGTCCCAGCTCCAAGGTCCCCCGGAGTATCCCTCAATTCCTTCTCTCCAGCCTGTTCCCTTCCCACATGAGCTGGAGGCCTATCGGTTAAACACAGGTCAAAGAAGTGTTTTCTTCAGCCCACTTTAAAGAAAAATTCAATTTATTGCTGACATGTAAAAACCAAATGACACCTTTCTTCTGATTTTTTTTCTCCAAAACAAAAGGGATAATATAGCCGGGCGCGGTGGCTCAAGCCTGTAATCCCAGCACTGTGGGAGGCTGAGGCGGGTGGATCACGAGGTCAAGAGATCGAGACCATCCTGGTCAACATGGTGAAACCCCGTCTCTACTAAAAATACAAAAAATTAGCTGGGCATGGTGGCACGTGCCTGTAATCCCAGCTACTCAGGAGGCTGAGGCAGGAGAATTGCCTGAACCCAGGAGGCGGAGGTTGCAGTGAGCCGAGATCGTGCCATTGCACTCCAGCCTGGGTAACAAGAGTGAGACTCCGTCTCAAAAAAAAAAAAAAGAAAAAAAAAAAAAGGATAATATAAAATTTATTTCTTTATTTTTTTTGAAATGGAGTTTTGCTCTATCACCAGGATAGAGTGCAGTGATGCGCTGCAACCTCCACCTCCCGGGTTCAAGCGATTCTCCTGCCTCAGCCTCTTTATTTATTTAAAAAAAGAACCTGGCTGGGGCCAGGCACAGTGGCTCACGCCTGTAATCCTAGCACTTTGGGAGGCTGAGGCGGACAGATCACCTGAGGTCAGGAGTTTGAGACCAGCCTGACCAACATAAAGAAACCCCGTCTGTACTAAAAATACAAAATTAGCCAGGCATGATGGCGCGCACCTGTGATCCCAGCTACTTGGAGGCTGAGTCAAGAGAATCGCTTGAACCCGGGAGGCGTAGGCTGCAGTGAACTAAGATCATGCCATTGTACTCCAGCCTGGGCATCTAAAAAAAAAAAAGAACCTGGCTATGTTGGCCAGATTGGTTTGGCAATCTTCCTGCTTTGACCTCTCATAATTCAAGGATTATAGGCGTGAGCACACACACCCCGCTTTAAAATGAAAAGAAAAAAAAAAAAAAAAACAGCTGGGCATGGTGGCTCACATTTGTAATCCCCCACTTTGGGAGGCCAAGGCAGGGGGATCACTTTAGGCCAGGAGTTCAAGACCAGCCTGGTCAACATGGCAAAACCCCATCTCTACTAAAAATGCAAAAGAATTAGCTGGGCATGGTTGCGCACACCTGTAATTTCAGCTACTCAGGTGGCTGAGGCATGAGAATGGCTTGAACCCAGGAGGCAGAGGTTGCAGTGAGCCGAGATAACACCCCTGCACTTGAACCCCGGCGACAGACCAAGACTCTGTCTTTAAAAAAAAAAAAAAAAAAAAATGAGGCCTGGTGCAGTGGCTCACACCTATAATCCCAGCACTTTGGAAGGCTGAGGTGGGCGGATCACCTCAGGTCAGGAGTTCAAGACCACCCTGACCAGCATGGAGAAATCCCATCTCTACTAAAAATACAAAATTAGCCAGGTGTCATGGTACACGCCTGTAATCCCAGCTACTCAGGAAGCTGAGGCAGGAAAATCGCTTGAACCTGGGAGGCAGAGGTTGCAGTGAGCTGAAATCGCACCATTGCACTTCAGCCTGGACAACAAGAGTGAAACTCCGTCTCAAAAAAAAAAAAAAAAATATTTCACATCTAAATCCAGTTTTTTATTTGTCTTGAAAAGTCAGGGCCAGGCATGGTAGCTCACGCCTGCAAACCCACCACTTTGGGAGGTCGACGGGATGGATCACTTGGGGTCAGGAGTTTGAGACCAGCCTGGCCAACGTGGCAAAACCTTGTATCTAATAAAAACACAAAAAAATTAGCCAGGCGTGGTGACCCACACCTGTAATCCCAGCTACTCAGGTGGGTGAGGCACGAGAATCACTTTAACCCAGGAAGCAGAAGCTGCAGTGACCCGAGATTGTGTCATTTCACTCCAACCCGGGCAACAGAGACTCCATCTCAAAAGAAAAAAAAAAAAGAAAATCAGGAAAAAAAAATCAGGTGTGGGCACATGAGGCTTGCCACCCTACCTGCCACAGGCAACAAGAAACAGGTAGTGACCATCCAGCTGACCCTGGTCCCCTGGAATCATCTGGGTCTTTGAACTCTAGCTAGGATCCTAAGTCCCAGACTCCACACCTCCACCTCTTCCCAGAAGGCAGTCTCAGCATTCTTGCCCATTCTCTATTCCTTTGGGGGGCCTAGGAACTCCCTGCACCCACATCCCTCTCACTCTGGAACCGAACTCCAATCAAATTCTGACACCCTGGAGCTCCTCCTGCCCAAGAGCCCTCCCTGCCAAGACCCAGTCCCTGGTCTGGTTCCCTTCCAGTCTAGGCCCAGTTCTCCCACATCCAGATAGCCTAAGCTCCAAATGCCACTCCCTTAAACACCAATTATTCCTCAATTTCCACTTCTTCTATCTCCTCCTAGTTCCCTGGGCCTCTGCTAGCTCACAGGGCACCCCCATTCCATCCGGCACCGGACAAACACCTGGGCAGAGCGTGACCCTCAGAACCACCCGCCTAGACCTGCCAGGTGCCTTTTTCCTCTGGGAAAAAGTGTAACCAAAAAGTTAAGGTAGAGGGCTTGGAAACCAGATGGTAGCCTTGACCGGGCTATGACCTCAGGCAATTCTCTTATCTGAATTTCAGTTTTCCTGCTGAAGGTTATCTTATACTTACAATGGGCATAACAATAGTACCTACCCTCAGATAATCTTTATACAAATTAGACAAGAACCTGCCTATAAAGCATTTACACTGAGCGAATGCCCAATAAGAGTCAGCTCTGGGCTCTCTTGGGATCCACATTTCCCATCTTCCACAGGTCTCATTTCCTCTTTTCCCCCTTTCTCTTCCGGACCATGGATCTGAAACCCAAGGCTTCAGCTGTCTGGCTAGGGTTCTCCCACCAGTCATGCCCAGTTCCCAAACCTCCCCATCCCCATCCCGCCCAAGCTACCTTGAACCTCTTGTCCTGGAGAACCTTCTTGATGGCAACCAGTTCCCTGGTCTCTGCCAGCCGTGCCTGGTACACGACCCCAAATGAGCCATTGCCAATCACTTTGATGTCTGTGTAAGCCACCTCTTGGGTGCGCTCTGGGCCTTGGCCTAGAGTGGCTACCACTGTGGTCACCTTCCCGCTGTCACCTGGGGAACAAAGGGGATACACAATCCACTGACCCATCCTGTCTGCGCATCACCCCATCCTGGGGCTGTGGGAGGAAGGGAAATCTCTGCAAGAAGCTTATTGGGGCCCTCTTTGTCCCTTCCTCCTCTTTGAGGAGAGGTGGATGCTGGACCTTCCCAGTGACTTTTCCCCTCTTCCTTTCTGGGAACCTTAAATCCTGCCTCTCCTCCACATGGGATGATATTGATACCTAAACGTCTCTGCTTCAAGGGTTGTCAACCCCTAATTTCTGCTTATAGGAAGCAACAGATTACTGGTCCATCTTGGTACTGGGAGACACCAGATGTTGACTCCATCCACTCTGATCTGCTCTCTGGCCCCTCCTATTTGGAGAAAGCTTGACCCAACCTCGTCCACTTAAGGGAGCAGTAACCCCGAGTTACTCCTACTTCGGGAAAGCACTAGTCTTTCTCACAGCCTAGAGGATACTGACCTCTAAGTCCTCCCCAGTAGAGCTGTTAACTTCACTGGTTCTTGGTGAAAGAAATGAATGTCCTCTCCTGGTATACATACCGGTGCCTTAACCCTCACTTTTTGGTACTTTGAGATTAGAAAAAACACTGACTTGACCTCTTCAACTGTGTGGTTCAGAGCCCCAGACCCCTCCCTGTATGTGGGTGGTCCCTAATGGACAAGCACTAGATTATGAGAATGATGAACCTGACTTCTATTATCAAGGGGCTAGTCCAGCCTCAGTCCTTTGAAGGAAAGCTACAATTCTCAATTCCCATTATTCAGATGGTAGCAAACCTTGGTGCCATTCTTAGGGGTCTTTGAATAACTGATGAACCAAATCCTTTTTTTTTTTTTTTTTTTTTTAGACAGAGTTTTGCTCTTGCTGCCCAGGCTGGAATGCAATGGTTCAATCTCAGCTCACTGTAACCTCTGCGACCTGGGTTCAAGCAATTCTCCTGCCTCAGCCTCCCAAGTAGCTGGGATTACAGGCGCCTGCCACCACGCCCGGCTTATTTTTGTGTTTTTAGTAGAGATGGGGTTTCACCATATCGGCCAGGCTGGTCTTGAACTCCTGACCTCAGGTGATCCATCCGCCTCGGCCTCCCAAAGTGCTGGGATTACAGGCGTGAGCCACCACACCCAGCCACCAAATCCATTTTGAGGGGCCAGAGACATGTTCTTTCAGAGGGAGATAACCCTACATCACTATTTTTTTTTTCAGACCCAAAGAAACCATACCCTAGAACAGTTATTAAAGAAGTATAACCTTAGATCCATATTCTATAGGAAACTGACCTACCCTCCCTGCTCCATTCCATTTTTGTTAAAGACAGACCAAGCCATGTATTTTAAAACATGGACTATGGACTTGGTTTGAAGGATATGCTGATTCCCAATGTCTTCATATCGAAGAAGCAGTACCTATTAATTCTCACCATTGGGGTACAGCTCAACATATTTAGGGTGGGTAATGATGCCAGGTCTTGATTTTAATAGGGAAGATGATCTGAGTACCAGGTTTGGAAAGCCCTGGCCCTATTCTTTGGGGACACAACACAGTAACCTCAAAGCCCTGCTTTTAAGTGATATTCACTCCAAATCCCCATCTTCTGAAGGACAGCGAATGCAGATCCCTCTTTTTCGGGGTATGGTCTTATTCTTGTTCTCTTAGGAGACAATAACTCTAGCTCCCCATTTGCAAGTGACTGTGACCTCTGATCCAGTTTTCTAATGAATAGCAACGTAAGATACCTGTTCTTAAGGCTCAAGGACCCAAGACCTCAATAAGAACAGGGACTTGTAACTCGTTTCTTTAAGTGTTAATAATCCTGATCCAAGAGTAATTCTGATATCCAAGAGATGGTAACCCCAAGACCCCTTTTTCTGGGAGGGAGAGGGCTCTGATCCTCGGTTTAGGGAGGCACAGTGACCTCGAGCTCCTATCTAAGCATATGAAAGAACTTGACGGATGTCTGAGGAGCTTTAGAAACCCTGATCACCACCCTACACGGGCGCCGCTAGTACTCACGGCCCAGCTTCACCCCGGGCGGCGGGAAGCTAGTGCCTGCGCCGGGGCCTCCGCTGCCTCCTCCGCCGCTGCCGCCGGGTCCACCCCCAGAGCTCGAGGCCCCGACGCCCCCACCCATGGCCCCGACGGACGTCTTCCCGCCGCCGGTGCCGCCTGGACCGGAGGCCGAGCCTCCTGGGCCGCCGCCGCCGCCTCCGCCTCCGCCGCCTGGCTCCGCAAACGAGCTGGTCCGCGCCCTGCCCGAGCCCCCAGGGCCGCCTCCCGAAGGCCCGCCGCCGCTCATGGCGCCGAGCGCAGGCCCAGGCCGCGGGGCTCGGGCTGCCCGGGCTGCCCCAGCTGCCGCCGCTGCCGCCGCCTCCCCCGGGCTCTGGCCTCTTCCAGGCCGCGCCGCTCGGGCTTGGGCTCCGGCTCCGGCCCAGCGCCCGCCGCGGGGCACGCCGGGAGATGCAGTCCGGCTGTCGTCCGCGCCGCCGTCACCGCCCTCGGTCCGCACAGAGAGCCGCGTGGCACGCCGGGAAATGAAGTCCACAAAAGCCTCGGAGTACCACGGGAATGACGGGTCGCGCTGTACGTCGGGAAATGGAGTCCAGGGTAATCTGTCAGCCGACTGTATGACGGGGAGCCCTGAAGGACTTTGGGAAGCAGAGAGCCTGATGCCGCTGGGAAACGGAGTCCACTCACTCAATCTATTGGCTGTGTATGCGTCCCAGAGACCGTTGCCCTCTGGGAAATTGAGTCGGCGCGCGTGGACCTACGGATCTCCGGCCGTGAAGCAAGCCGGGAAATGGAGTCGTCGCCACGCCCTCACCGCATTGCAGGTGTAAAGAGATTTTTTTTAGAGCACGCCGGGAAATGGAATCCCAGGTGGTTTCTAAGCCCCAAGTGGCTACTGCAGTTCCGGAGATGGGCGAGGAAATGGAGTAGGTTTCGCGCTCCCCTTCCCAGGTACGCTAGGCCGCAGTCCCTGCCGGGAAGTGTAGTCAACACCAAGGCTTTAGAGCAGTGGCCACAGAGAGCCCTGGTGTGTTCTGGGAAATGGAGTTCCAGGCATCCTCCCCATTGACTGAGGGGGCGGGATCGCCTAAGAGTTCCAAGCATGCTGGGGAATAGTCCAGACCTGACCTTTTGTGAGGCCAGTCTGCAGAGGCTTGCCGGGAAGCGGAGTCCAATGGCCACCATTGGGGTCGTGTGAGCAAAAGTTTAGAGGCTGCAGCAGTTCCCTGGAGAGACTTAAAAGTGTTTCAGCGCCTTCTTCCTCGCCCCAGGTCCTTCTTTACGAAAGAGCCGAGGTCGATCAAGGACTGCTGGAAAATGGAGCCAAGCACCTTTAAGTTCCAGGTGACCATAGATCAGGAAAGAAAAAGTGTCCCCTCTTGCCCCCCCAAACCCGAACTCTGCAAAGGATTCAGGAAAGAAAGTTTTCGGCGGTTTCTCAGAACACTAGTCGTCGGATACAGTCTAGCTTTTCCTAGCAATGTGGTTAGCACCAGGAAGCTGATTGGAGCATTAAAAAGATTGAAATATAATTTCTGGGCCTGGCGCGATGGCTCACGCCTGTAATCCCACCACTTTGGGTAGGCCACAATGGGCGGATCATCTGAGGTCAGGCATTCGAGACCAGCCTGGCCAACATGGCAACACCCCATCTCTACTAAAAGTACAAAAATTAGCCGGGCGTGGCGGCGGGTGCCTATAATCCCAGCTAGTCAGGAGGCTGAGGCAGGAGAATCGCTTGAGCCCTGGAGGCGGAGGTTGCAGTGAGCCAAGATCGCGCCTCTGCACTCCAGCCTGGGCGACAAGAGCGAGATCCGTCTCAAAAAAAAAAAAAAAAAAAAAAAAAAAAAAAAAAAAAAAAAAAAAAAAAAAAAAAAAAAAAAAAAATTCTGTCTTGAACCCCCATTCCGTTTTTGCTTTGTTTGAGACAAGGTCTCGCTACGTTGCCCAGGCTGGAGGGGAGTGGTGCGATCATAGGTCACTGCAGCCTCGAACTTGCCGGCTCAAGCAATCCCCCCCTCGCCCAAGCCTCCCAGGTAGGTGGGACTACAGGCGTGCACCACCACGCCCGACTAATTTGCTTTCGTTTGGTTTGTTTTTTTGGGGTGGTGTTGAGGGGAGGGCTACGACATGTTGCCCAGGCTGGTCTCCAACTCCTGAGCTCAAGCGATTTTGCCTCAGCCTCCCAACGTGCTAGCATGTCAGGCTTGCGCCACGGCACCGGGCCTCCCACTCTGTGTTTTGGGTCCTCTGCTTCCTAAATTACAGGATCCCAAAAAGCCAAAAACAAGCAGGCTGCAAAGAGTAGCCTCAGGTTTTGCGTACTCAGCGAGTCGTCCTATTTATCGATTAATACTCGAAGGTGAGTAGCCCCCAAAGGGCGCTGGGAAACAAGAGTCCCTATGTATGTGTGTGTCTCTTTCTCCCGGAGAAATACTTAGAACTAGAATGAAAGCGTTCTCAGCCCCTCCCGCCTCCTGGAATGGCGGGAAATGGAGTCTCTGGACTTCACGTTAATCCGAGCTTGTATTCCTACTAACTGTCCTGTCCTTTCTGAAGCCAGAAGAAAGTCCTGTTCTCTCAGTTTTTTCTTGACTGCAATTCCCAGCGGACACAACCGCGGGGGAAGGTAGCGACAAAAGCCTATTGAGACTACATTACCCAGAAGGCAAAGTGCGGACATACTGCCGCTCCCTTCACAAAGCAGGCTGCTGCACCATGCGCAGGTCGGCGCGGGCATTTCTGGGAGTTGTAGTTTCACTACCAAATGGGGCCTACTGCCCTCTGATGGCAGCGCTGAGTTAAAAAGTAAACATTTGAGTCAAGCCCTTTGGCCTAGGCATTCCGACACCCGACCAACAAGGCTCACAAAGGCGACGAAATGGGGCGGGATAGCGGCGGTTACTTAACCGCCAGAACCCGTGGGGCATGCACCGTGAGCTGCGCGTGGGCAACCGCCACGAGGGGATTGGGATCCTTGGGAGTTTGAGGGTGAAGGTCTGAGATCGATCAGGATGTTTGTAGAGGGTGAGAATGTTCATGGAGGAATGTTAGGAAGGGTTGTAAACGTCTGAGAGAGGCGTATGGTGTCTGGAAGGGCTAAGAGGAGTCCTAGAGCTGTGAAGGGGCCTTTGATGAGCTTAGTGACCTGAGGATAATTACTGGGTGGAGAAGCCTGAGGGGAATTAGGGTGTCTGTTAAAAGGTCTGTGGGTGGCTGGGGGCGATGGCTCACGCCTGTAATCCCAGCACTTTGTGAGGTCAAGGCAGGTGGATCACTTGAAGTCAGGAGTTCAAGACCAGCTTAGCCAACGCGGAGAAACCATATCTCTAGGCACAAAAAAATTAGCCAGGCGTGGTGGTGCACTGTAATCCCAGCTACTCGGGAAGCTGAGGCACAGAATTACTTGAACCCAGGAGGCTGAGGTTGCAGTGAGCTGACATTGCACCACTGCACTCCAGCCTGGGCAATGGAGTGAGACTTTTGCCTGGAAAAGAAAAAAAGGTCTATGGGAGATAGAAATTACTGGTGACCATGGGGATCTCTGAGTGACCTGAAGGGGTGAGAAATGGTTAGGAAGCATCAAGAAGGGGCTTTGAGAGTCTGTGGATATACTGGGGCTAATGTACAACACGGGGAGGTGTCTGATGAGATTAATCTGTGAAGTGCTTTGAGAGCATCTGTAAAGGGCTTTCTACTTGGAAGCAAGGATCTCAGAGGATATGGACAGGACCAAGGGTGTCTTCTTGCAGAAACATTTCAAGTCTGCTAATGGATTTAGGTGGGCAATTAAAGGTTAGAGGAGCCGCTGGAGTTTTCAAGGCCAAATGCCACCTGTGACATCCTACACAGCCAGAATCTGGGGCAACTAGTCCGGTAGGGCTGTGGTCTGACCTGGACAGCAGTTAGGGAGCTGAGCATCTATGATTCCATGTGAATTAGAGGTGCTTTAAAGGCACTGGGGTCAGGGGATGAGGCCAGTAGTCAGGGTCCTCTCCTCCCCCGAGTGACAACATCCCCTTCTCCATCATCCCACCACCACCAACTCAGCTGCATCTATGTTGCCAGGAGACATGTCTCATCCCAGCTTCCAGAAATAGCCCAGTGTCCCCCACCCCAGAGTATGTCTTACATCACCCAGGAGAGGGAGCAGTTTCCCGCAGGCCGCCTCAGGAGCCTCGGTTTCCTGCCAGTATCTAGCCCTGTATCCTCTCTTCCCTGCCAACCAACATCATCTGGGACCACCCACCCTGGCTGGCATGAAATGAGATGCAAGTGGGTAGCAGTTGCCAATCAACGTTCCTTCCCCCTCAGGGTTGCACAGGGTGGAGTTTCCTGGCGAAGCCAGTCCAACAAGCCCTCAATTGCCAATCCATCTCTTAGCAGCTGTGTGGCCTCAGGGAAACCCCTTCCCCTTTCTGAGGTGCCTCAGGCACCTCACCTGCAGAAGAGATTGGCTTGTCTCTAAGGGCACTTCCAACCTGGATTATTCTTCCTAATTCTTTCATCCCTGATTCAAGCTCTCCAATCTCAGCTTCTGTAGCTTTATGAGCTCATCTCAGATCCTCTGATCCTGAAAGCCTGATCTGGATCCAACTATCTTGGTGTTAGGAAGGAAAAGTCAGGAGTTGTTGAAAGAATATGGGCTTTTAAGTCCTGGCTCAGCCGTAGGGCCTTGGGCAAGTCACTTAGCAGCACTGGTTGCCCCTACCTTACTGAATACTGAGAGCAACAGCACTGCAGCTTCTAAGTACTGGACACACAGTAAGTCAACAGCATCGATGACTAATAAGCCAGACCCTTCACTTCGTGCTGGCTGGGGGTGTTCCCCTGGCTGGACCAGATCACTAAGTTACCTTGCAAGGTCTACATTTCAAGAGACACTGCAGGCTGGTCTCCAAAGAACTCCCAGCTGAACTCAGAGCAACATGAGGGGTGTGGGCAGGGTACTACGGGCAGTGCCAAAGGGAGCTCCTGGTCTTCACTGGGAACCTGGGGTGTGGGAAGAATTCTCAGCTACAAGAGGGAAGGCATCCAGGCAATCGAAAAACAAGGGCATCGAAGTCGTTGCAAAGAACAGTAAGAGCTTCCAAGGACAAGATCCCCATGGAATAGAGGAGCAGTCAGATGAAGCCAGCGCATGCCCAAGACCATCATCAAGCTCTGGGGCTTCTGTGCCTCTGAGGTCAGATGGTTTCCCAGGCCTGGATTTGGCACATTCAGATTACGGTTAGGCCCTCTACACCAATCAGGTCACAGACTCACTAGCAGCCAGGCTGGGGCCCCTCCTTCAGAATCAAGCAAAGACTGTGGCCTGGAGGCGCTGCACCTAGCACCTAGGACATTGATAACCGCATCCAAAGGTCCAAAGTTTTATTGTTTTGAATACATTCTCCAGCGGCCCCTCTACTCCCCCCACCCTCAGTCCCCAATACAGAATAAGGCTTGACCACAGCCCCCCACCCCACCCCAGAGGCCCCAGCTGGGAGGCAGAGGGGGCTTCCAGTTTGGTTTCAGGGCACCCCCTTCCCATCCCCCCACCCGCCTGCCCATGGGCCAATCCTAGGAGCAGCTGGGGGTGAAGGGGCTGGACGGGTGCAGGGGTAGAGTGGGAGAGGGATAGCAGGCACTTGTTAAGATTTGTGGCCCATGGGCGGTACCCCTCAACGCCCTCCACCCCCCTCCCCCCAACACATGGAATTTTTGGTTCATCATCAAACTGTCCCTCCCTCCCCTCCTGTGACCTTGTTGGGTATGAGAAACCTAGGCACTCATGGCCCCCTGGAGGGGCAGGGCAGGCAGGGCTGGGGCTGAGGAGGGCTATGGGTGGGGCAGAGGGGGAAAGGTACAAGAGGCAGAGAACAGGGAGGGCAACAAGGCTTTACTTCCTAAGCGATTGTAATAAAAAAGTTCCTGGGTGTTAAGGCCAGAGCCTCAATTCAAATATAAATTCCCCAGAATGGAGGTGGCCCCCCTAACTTCCCCCTCCCTCCCCGCTACCACCACTTTGCCCAGAGCTTAGAAACCCACAGAGACAGGGAACAGCCCCTAGCCCTGGGCACCCACCCACCCCCACCATTTAAAAAAAAGAAATTAAAGTTTTATACAAAATGTGGGGAGGGGGAAGGGAGGAGGCAGGGAAGAGACAAGAGAGCTGCCCTCACCTCCAGGGCACAGGGGGCTTAAGGCAGCAAAAGAAGCATGGGGGGTGGGGGGCACGTGGGTCCCCTGCCCACAGCCCTCAGGAGTCTCGGTGCTCCAGGGAGAGCTGGGCCGTGGCATGCTGGAGGTCAGAGCTCACCCGCCTTGGGGTGAGGGGCCCCCCAGCCTCCCCGGGCCCCTCCCCACGCACCTTCTTGTCCTCGCCCTCATCCTCAAAGACCCCAGTGGGGCCCCCACCCCCTTCCAGGCGACAGTCTTCACTCCAGCGCCGCTTAAAGCGCAGCTTGAGAGGCATGCATTGGGCCGCCCCGGGTGCCTCGCCGGGTTCGGGCTTGGGGGGTGCAGGTGGGGCACGGGGCGTCTTGAACACCTCCCCATCTTCCTCATCCTCATCACTAATGTCAGTCACCTCCACCTCCTCCGACTCGCCTTCCGAGATGGGCTCCACCTTGATCTGAGGTGGCGGGGGCGGTGGGGCCAGCCCGCCTGCGCCACCAGCGCTCTTGTCAGCACTGGCTGGGGCCTTCTCCCCAGCTGCCCGCTGTCGGCGTCCGAGTGGGGGCGGCTGGAGCTTAAACTTGAATGGAGAGGAAGAAGAAGAAGAGGATGACGAGGCCGAGGAGGGGACCGGTGGGGTTTCGGGCGCCATGGGCGGCAGTGGGCACTTGTCGGGGCGCTGGGGCTGGGGCACCACCAGCCCAGGGTAGTGCAGAAAGGCGCGGGGGCTGAGGTGGTAGTTGTAGACGCTTTGGGTGTGGGCCTGCAGGTACCGTTTCATGTCCTCAGGGCTGAAGGAGAAGTGAGAGCCTCCCCCTGAGCCGCTGGGCCCCCCGCCACCACTGGGGTACATAGGGCTCAGCGTGGGCGAGGGAGTGTAGGCCAGGTGGGTGGGCGTCATGGGCAGAGCTGGGGAGAGCTGAGGGGGCAGCAGGGAGCCAGGCCCGGCCAGAGGAGACACAGGGAAGGGGCTGAGGGGTTCAGGGCCACCCCGAGGCCGGGGGTAGACGCGGAAGACACCAGGGTCATGGGGCAGGCGGGCCAGCGGGGGCCCTCGGAAGGCACCCAGATCTGGAGGGCCGGGTGGTCGGGCCCGGGGATCCTCTCCCAGCGGTTCCTCCAGCTCTGACGTGCCATCACTACAGTCACTGACTGAGCCTCGGCCCAGGCGGCGAGCCACCACAGCTGAGAAGAGGGATGATGAGGATGAAGAGCAGGCAGGTGGTGAGCGGGGGTCCTCAGTGGGGGACAGCACCTCGGAGGGCGTTGAGGGAGGGAAGCGGAAGTGGCTACCGCCCGACGGCACTGGCGGGGCACTCTGGGGCACCGCACCCCCTGGCAGGGGAAAGGAGACGTGTCAAGGCCCCTGGCCTAGCCTGGAGGGGCACACAGACCCTCTCCACACCAACCATCCCCGGTACTCACCAGCCAACCCCACATCAATGAAAGGGTAATTAACCAGCACCAGTTTGTTGAAATTGAACTTGTAGGTGAACCGTTTCCCCTTGGTCTTGTGCAGAATGCGCTTGTTATAGTAATAGCTGTGGGTACAGAGATGCCAATGGGAGGGTCAGGTACACGGGATCCAGGTCTAGCATCCACACCTTGACATGCACTTAGGTGTGGTTCCCAAAGGGCCACTGAGGAACATGGGCCACAGAAGAGAAATCAAGTGCCCAGAGGGTAGGTACCAGCTCTCTCCTCGGGTCTAAGGCAGAACTAGAGGATCCATTAATGACTGTATTCTCTTCTCAGGATACCTCTGTGTTACCAAGGGGCTCAGGGAGGAGCTGGGAGTGGCCCAAGTTTCACAGCTAGGATTTGGCAAAGCCAGGGGTCAGAACCAATGGCTGTTCCCATGAGCCGGGGGGTATGCAACCGGTGGGGGCCGTCCACATGTGCTCAGGGTTCCCCAGCCCGTCCTCACCGCAGGGCCCGGCTCAGCTTGTCGTAATTCATCTGGGGCTTGCACTTGCGGACGCCCCACAGCCGGGCCACCTCATCAGGGTCTTTGATGACGAATTCCCCGTAGTCCCCCTGCCAGGCAATGACGCCCTGGTACTCCTCCTTCCGAAGCAGCTCCAGGATAAAATGCCACAGCTGGATCTGCCTCGAGCCAGGGGACGACTCTGGCTTGTAGGCCCAATCCGGGAAGGCAAACCCTGGGGACGGGAAGCAGGGAGTGGCCTGGGGTCAGGATGCCAAGTCCAGGGCTCTGGGTCCCATCCCGGGGCCCACCTCTGCCCTGCCTTCAACATGGGGAAAACTGTCTTGCCTCAGCCAAGTCAAGACCTGATTTAAGAGAAGACAGTGTGTGTCTGTCTGTCTGCATGTGAGGGGCTAGACAGGAGCTGGGGGGAGGGGAAGCTGGAGCCTACTCCAGTGACACCGGGAGAAACAGGAAACCGTCGGCGGTGGGTCCCGGGGCCAGTGCCAGGGGGCCAGGCACCAAGCCAGGCTGGCGGGCAGGGCTGCCAGTGGGGGAGGGGCAGGAAGGGGTACACGTGGCCAGCCGGGTTGGGGTGCAGCCCTCCCAACTTACCCCCACTCCCATCCAGAGACAAATGCACCACCCCAGCTCCTCTGATCTCCTCCTTAGAAACATGCACTGTCTTCCCCCAAAGATCCAACAGAGCCCCTACTCCCACCCCAGGACCCGAAAGGAAGATTTTTTTTTTTTCTTAAAAGGACCAGGAGGGGTGGGGTGACTGGTTGCCGATGAGGTCAGCGCTTGCACACACAGAGGCTTCTGTCTTCCCTGGAGAGTGAAACCCAGACTGTCTGAGAGGCCTCCCCCAAGCCCTGGACCCTCTGAGCTACACTGCCCTCTCCAGACCCAGGCATCCAGGCCCCACCTGGCTGGAGGGCCCAGCCCAGGCCTGGAGCTTGAGCAGGCACTCTGGAGCTGTCATCCTCTTCCCACTTCTGACTTCTCATCCTCGGCTCCTTCCCTGCCCACCTGCCCGCCCGCCCACCCCCAGCATTAACCTTGGGTAGAGGTTGGTGGTGGGCTGGCTGGTCTCCGGAGGGGGTGGGCAGCCTGGGGTGGGGGGTTGGGGGGGGTTGCGGTTGTTGTCATTTCCCAAACCCCCGGGTAATCAGGGGCCATCAATAATTCAGCACCAGGCAGCCGGTAATGGAGGGGTGGGAGGAGGGAAAGGGGAGGAAGGGAAGGAGGGGGGACGCGGGGCAGGGGCCCTGATGCCACTAGAGAGAGAAGGCCAAGGTGGCGGCTAGAGATGGACGGCTCCCAAATCCAGTCAGGCTGCAGGGGTTAGCAGGTATCAACCAGGCCTCCAGGCAACACAACCACCCTCAAAGACTCCACCCCAGTCTGGAATCCAATAGGGGATCATTCCCCTTGGGAACTCAGGGAATCAGTAGTTCCTGCTCCCACAGGGACCACCTCCACCAAATCGAGAGCTCACCGTCCCCCACAGGGACTCAGGCCCCAACTCCTAGCCAGACTTGGCTGCAGTATCGCATGCCCCACGGAATCCCTGCCCCATTCAGATATTCCAGCCTTTCACCTTCCACCGGGGTATGACCTCCCAATGTTCACAAACCAGCACCAACAGCCCCTGTTCATTTAAAAGTGACAGCCTTTGACGACCCCTTTCAGGGACTCCAGAGCCCCATTGCTCTCTTGGGAATCTAGGTGTTCACCCCATTATCCTCACCCTTCTAGAGAACTGAGATCACAAGGTCTCCTGCAAGGCCCAGGGTCTTTTAGAACCCAGGTGACCAAGCCATCAGCTCCATGGACCCTCACATCCCCTCCACAAAGCTCCCAGCCCCTCTCAGGGCACCAAGCTCCACGCTACTTCCACCTCAGTCCCAATCTGGCTCTAGAACCAGAAGTGGGGGCTGAAGCCCCTGAGACATCAGTCTGGGGGTGGGGGATGTACTGACTTCCACCCTCCCCCCAAAATTAAAGCCACCCTTCCCAGCCCACCCGCCCCAGCCTCCGTGTCCCGGTAACCAGGCAACGTGTGTGCAGCGACAGTCCTGGGAGCGGGGGAGCAGGAGGCTAAAAATAAACTTTGCAGAAGAGAGGGAGTGAGAGAGACTACATGCAACACAAAGGGAACTCGGAAAGGAGGTGGGGGGGCTCTGGAAAGGCCTCAAGCCGCATTCTGGGAGCTGTCCCAGGCCCCCTTGTTAAACCCCTTCCCTGAGCAACCCCTCCTCCAGGGTCTGGACCCTGGCTCCCACTCCTGGCAGGGACCCTTCCCCACTCCCAGGCCCACCCCAAGGATGGCTTTCCTAATCGGACACAGCATACATGAGGGCCTGTTCCTGGCTTTGGGGGGGAGAATGAAGAGGGGGTGACGTCAGGGTGTCTCAATGGGGCTCTGTTCCCCAGGCCTTGGAGCCAGGAGCCAGGCACGGGCAAGGGGAGCATGTGTGAGTGTGTTGTGTATGCGTCCACGTGCTTAAAACAGGGAAACACCAGACCTGCACAGAGGAAGCTTGGGGGCGTGGGACCTCAGGAATATGGGGGCCAGTGAGGCAGGGAGAGAGCAGACACATAGAGAGAGGGGTTCAGAAGACTGCGAGACAGGGTGCAGAGTGGCAGCAGACAGACAGGAAGGGCTGAGATGGCGAGGTCCCAGAAGCACACCTGGGTCCCACAGAAGCGGTGTAGGGATTCTCCCACACAGACTGCAAGCCTGCGGGGACAAAACTCCTGGGCACCCCCCCCAACTTCACGTGACAGCCCAAACTTTTTTTAAGGGACCATGAGGGTCGGAAGGGAGGAGTGATGGTAGAGGAAGAACACGCCGGCCTCCTGGGGGGCCCCACTACCTCCCCCACTCCAGGCAGCCCTCTATGGCGCCAGAGCCGGGAAGAAAACAGGAAGTGGGAAACAGCCACGGCAGAGGAGAGAGGGGCCGGGATGGAGGATCGGATGGAGGGGTGCGGAGCAGCAGGCCAGGAGACAGACGGAAAGATGCACCGATTGGAGGCCATTCCAGGCCTCCCGCCCCTCTTCTCCCCCCCCGCCGGAGAACCCACACACTGCTCGGCCCTCAGACGGGGTTGGGGAAGCGACCAGCGGGTCCCAACAGGCCAAGGCCGGTAGCAGGGAGGGAAGATGAGGCGGGGTTGTCTGGGCGCCTCGGCCTCCCCTTTGGACCAGGGGAGGCTCCTGCTGCCCCCAGGGCCCAGCGGCCCAGGATCGAGTGGAAGCTGGGGGACTCTGTGGGACGCACGTGACTGACCCTACCGCACTCCGCACCCCGGCCCCACCTCCAGGGCCCCTCCTCGGTCCCAATCCCCTGGCGCCGGGGCCGGAGCCCAGCTCCGAGCCCTTCAAGATTAAGCCGCCCCCACCCGCCGAGCAGGAGGATGGAGATGGGGTGGGGATGGGGTGGGGTGGGTGGGCCGGTCGGGGCACACACCCGCACACTGGAGCCCGAGCCACCGCCGCCGCCACCGCCGCCGCCGGGGGAAGGAAACAAGTTTGAACAGCGGCGCCCGGCCCCCTTCCCCCTCCCCCGTCCCCGCCCCGGGCCGGATTCCGACGGGGTAGACGGGCAGGGGGCGGCTGGGACCCCTCCCCCTGCGCGCTTGGGCGCAAAGTCCAGCCCGCGCGAGCCCGGGGGCGGCGGGGGAGGGGAGGGGGAAAAGTCCGAGTGGGAGGGGGGTTAATCCCGCTGCCCCCCGCCCGCCGACCGAGGGGGAGGGGAACCTTGGCCCCTTAAGGAGGAGCAAGTTGGCGGGGAAGAGAGGGGCGGAGGGAAGAGACGGCCCGCTGAAAGAGAAGAGCTGGGTCCGGGAGGGGGGATAAGGGGGGAGCCTCTGCGTCTCCCCCCCACCTTTCCCACCCTCCACAACCCCGGAGCCCCGGTGGTGCGGAAGGAGAGCACCCAGGTCTCCCCGGAGCCACCTTAAAGCCGCGCGTTCTAAGGTCGGAAACAAAAAGTTCCTTTTTCGAACGTTCGGGCTGCGCTTTGGAACTTTGCGACTCGGCGAGGGCGGGGGAGCGAGGAGCCGACAGAGGCGGGCGGGGGAGGGGCGGCGCAGCCCGGACCCCGAGTCCCGGGCTCCCCACTCACGCCCTCCTAGAGGCCATCCCGTGTCCCCCGCTAACCTGGTGCGGGGCACGCGCCGCGGTGAAGGTCACCAGCCGGACCGCGCAGCGCAGAACCAGGGATAGCGGGCCCAGTGTACGAGCCCCCCCCTCCCGCCCGCACACGTCCCGGCCCCCAGAGTGCAACGTGACAAGAGCGGAGGGGAAGGACCCCGCCACCCCCGTGATCCCGGGAGTAGGAGAGAGCCCAGCCTGCGGGGTCCCGGTAGGGATACAGGACCAAGAGCCGCAGCACCCACACCACTCTGCCCGGAGCCAGGAATCGGGGGTCCCAGGCAGCAACCCCGCTCGTGCCACGAGAAGCAACAGGTCTCGAGCGCTTAAGGGGTCCCCCAGAACTGGGGATCACTCGGGCTCCCCTGGACCCCTCAGCCCCCCCAAAGTTTCTCCGTTCGGTTTCCCGGGGCAACAAGTCTCCCCCACACGTGCTGCCCCCGCCCCCACCTGTGTCCGCCGGGGTCTTCATGCTTGGGGGCCCGGGGCGAAGCGCCCCGACTCCGGGCCGCGGCTCCCGGCGCCCGCGCTGCCCCGTCCCGTCCCGCGCCCGTCGGGCCGCCCTCGCCGCCTCACCCGGCCTCGCCTCTCAGAGCCTCTCCCCTCCCCGCCGCCGCCTCCCGGGTTAATATCGCACTCCGGGGCCGGGACGCCCACGCCCCCCGGCCGGCGACGTCACCGCCGCGTCGCCATGGAGACACTGCGCCCGCCCCCTCCTCGCGCACTCACACACACGCTCTCCGGCACTCAGCCACTGAGGACCGGCCGGCTCTGGGCTTAAAGGGGCCGCGCAGCGGGGGAGGGAGGAAGGAGGGGGCGGGGGTGGGATGGGGTCCCGCAGGTCGTGACCCTAGTCCGAGGCTCCAAGTCTGCAGATAACTTAAGTTCTCGGCACTCGCTACCTGCTGCCCCTCCTCCTCTCCTGCCCACTGCGGGCTCCAGAGTTTCTTTTGGGAGCCTGTATGGAAAAACGGGGGGCCCATCGGAGGAAATGGGGGTCAGAAACTTTTGTGGAGAGGGGGCACAATCTTCCCTGCAGAGGGGCAGGGTCAGGCCCTCGGAGGATGATCAAGAGCACAGCATTTCCCAGCTTAGTTTTACCCAGCCCCCCAACCCTGAGCCTGAATGGGGGCAGCTGTCCAGGGGTGGGGTGGAATGGGTGGGATGCATTTCCCAGCCACGGAAATGGGGAGGCGGCTGTGCCCTCCTCTCCTGTGGGGATGGGGTCTTGGCCTTCCTGATAGCCCCAGTCCAGCTGGGGAGGAAGTGACCAGAGAGAATGCATTTGGAAGCCCCCACCGCCACCGTGCCCAGGCTGCAGCTGTCCCGGGGACAGAGCTGGCGCCGGAGGTCCCCCCACCTCCACCACTAGGACCGGGGGTTCCGGAGGCGGGGCCAGGATATGAGGGGGCGACCAAAGTCTGAACAAATGTGCTCCCAAGGGGCACTGAGGGTCGCCAGGAAAGAGGAAGACAGGGCTTAAGATCGAAAGCCAGCGCGTAGGGAAGCGTTAAGTCTCCGTTCTCTGCCTCCGTCGGGAGGGAAGGATGAAGCCTGAGGCTCTGGGAAACAGGAAATCACTGTGCAGATCTGATGGAGCCTGGGAGCCGGCAGCACGGTAGAGGCCAAATAGAAGCAAAATTCACAAGCACAGCCTGGAAACAGGGTCTCAAAAAAGACTCTGAGGTTCCAAGGGAGAGGCGTATGGGTGGCGGGCGGGTCTGAGGGGCGGGGGTGGGGGGGCGACAAATCCAGAAGATGGGCGGGGAGACACAGACAAGTCACAGATAGGGAAGGCCTGCGGAGCTCAGGCTCCCGGTAACTAGGGTTTCAATCCCAGCTTCCTCGCCTCCTCCCTTGCGGGGTACCTAGTCCGCCTTAGGCGCCTCACCAGTGCCTCAAAAAGAAGTCTCAGGCCTCCTCTTCCCTGGAGGACCAAGGGCTCCAGGGAAGCTCCCCCCCACCAACCCCAGAGAATTATGTAACCTTGCCTACGGACAGTGCAGCTCCCCAACGGATATTGTAACCCTCTGGGAGCGGTGTGGTCCAGCAATAATAATCATCATCATTGTTCGAATAACAGCTCCCGAATTCCGAGTGTTCATGATGTGCCAGGCACCGAGCCAAGCATTGTCAGGAGCATCTTCTCATTTAATCCTCACAAAATCCCAACGAGGAGGAGTTACTGTTGTTATCCCCATTTACGGATTTAGAAAGTGAGGCTCTCTAAGGGGAAATCAGTCCAATAAATCTTACAGCCAGAAAGTACTGGAACTAAGATTCAAACCCAAATCTATCCAGTTCCAAACCACTGGATACATTTACCATTATGATTACCTCCTTTACTAACCCCTCAAAAAAAGCAGCTTTTTGGGGTTTGTTTTGTTTTGTTTTTTTGAGATGGAGTCTTGCTTTGTCACCAGGCTGGAGTGCAGTGGCCTCAGCTCACAGCGACCTCTGCCTCCTAGGTTCAAACAATTCTCCTGCCTCACTCTCCTGAGTAGCTGGGATTACAGGCGCGCACGCGCCCAGCTAATTTTTGTATTTTTAGTAGAGATGGGGTCAGGCTGTTCTCGAACTCCTGGCTTCATGATCCTCCCTCTTTGGCCTCCCAAAGTGCGGGGATAACAGGCATGAGCCGCCACGCCCAGCCAAATTTTCAAAGACAATACATCAGGGCGCCATACGGTGGCTCACACCTGTAATCCTACTACTTTGCGAGGCCGAGGTGGGAGATACTTGAAGTCAGGAGTTCAAGACCAGCCTAGCCAACATGGTGAAACCCCGTCTCTACCAAAAATGTAAAAATTAGCCAGGCGTGGTCTAGCACCTGTAATCTCAACTACTCCAGAGGCTGAAACAGGAGAATCACTTGAACCTGGGAGGCAGAGGTTGCAGTGAGCTGAGATGGCACCATTGCACTCCGGCCTGGGCAACAGAACAAAACGCTGTC